TTAGAGTAAGTGAAATAAGAGCTTCTATATAATAAATAATCGTTATACATACCTTTTCTAAATGTGTGTTTGTAAAATAGGTAGATCCCAGCAAAGGTTCCGTAGGTTTCGGTTCTGGCCTTCACGGCTGGGCTTTCACCTTAAAACAATTCTCCGAAATGTACGCCGAGAAATTCAAGATTGATGTAGTGAAACTAATGAACAGACTGTGGGGCGAATCCTTTTTCAATCCTAAGACCAAGAAGTGGAGCAAACAGAAGGAGACTGATAATAAACGCTCCTTCTGTATGTACGTCTTAGATCCAATTTATAAGGTAAGCTCTCACTGTCTTGAATGTTACGTAAAGTAATCAATGTTTGCGTTATCATCATGATAAACATTGATAACTAAAATAAGAAATTATTCTTTAGGTATTCGATTGTATTATGAATTATAAGAAGGAAGAGGCAGACAATCTTCTGAAAAAGCTGGGTATCGTGTTAAAAGCCGAAGATAAGGACAAGGATGGAAAAGCTTTGTTGAAGGTAAACTTCTTTCTAAATTGTGATACATACATATTTCTTGTGTAATTACGCATAATGATGATTGTTTTTTTTTTTCTGACATCTCTTCCGATTTATAAATGAGGGAGAAAATGCTATATGCTTGCTGAGGAACATTTAATGACCACATTAAGTTCACTTTCTTCGGAATGTTTTTTTATCGTGTTGTACAACTTTTTCAGGTTGTTATGAGAACATGGTTGCCTGCAGGAGAGGCTCTTCTTCAGATGATTGCTATTCATTTGCCATCTCCTGTAACTGCTCAAAAATACCGCATGGAGATGCTATACGAAGGACCGCTCGATGACGAAGCTGCCGTTGGAATTAAGGTTTGTAATATATGTCCGAGCTTTTCGGATATTTGGTACAAATACATGATGATATATAATTCACAGACCTGTACTGAAACGTAATGAGGGAAAATCGAATTTCTGACTCAAAACAAATCCTAATAGATTATTAAAAGAGTGTTTTCAATAATTAAATTAAGTTATCTTTTGTAGAACTGCGATCCTAATGGACCACTGATGATGTACGTCTCAAAAATGGTACCGACATCGGACAAGGGACGTTTCTATGCTTTCGGTCGAGTATTTTCGGGCAAAGTGTGTACCGGTATGAAAGCCCGCATCATGGGACCCAACTTCCAACCGGGCAAGAAGGAAGATCTGTATGAGAAAGCTATCCAGCGCACTATTTTAATGATGGGTCGTTATGTTGAAGCTATCGAAGATGTGCCTTCTGGTTAGTATCAAGATTGTGCGATGCTTTTTTGGGTTTTCTATTTAGTTTGTGTCGACTTGTATCACCAAATGGAAAGCACCCTTTATTTCTAATCACGCATATGATGTTTGTTCTAACAGACCTGTTCTGACTTACTTATGATAGATAGATAGAACGGCCAGCTGATTTAGCTAAATAAAATTTAAATGAATTAATTTATGTTCACATGTATTATAACTAATTTAATTTGCGCAGGTAATATTTGCGGTCTTGTCGGCGTCGATCAATTCTTGGTTAAGACCGGTACCATTACAACGTTCAAGGATGCGCACAATATGAAAGTTATGAAGTTTTCTGTATCGCCTGTTGTGCGTGTCGCAGTCGAGCCGAAAAATCCTGCTGATTTGCCAAAATTGGTCGAAGGTGTGTAAGTTTCCCAACTTAATTCATTATTAGTCTCTCAAAGAATAATTAAATTTTACTGAAAATCTGTGATTTTTGAAACACGATTTTTCTGAGAAATGGAGTATTATATACTATTTTATTTTCTTTAATATATACTATTTTATAATCTTTAATCAGTTTTGTATAAAATTGAGACATTGTGATTTTATATGATGAAAACTATTATGAGCATTGGGTTATGAAGATCCATGATTTAAATTTTTCCATCTGACGATATATCAATAAATTTTATTAAATATTTTTAATGTCTCGTTTGCATATGTGTAATTTAATTGTGTTCAATTCAACAGGTCTCAAACGTTTAGCGAAATCCGATCCTATGGTACAGTGCATCATCGAGGAATCCGGTGAGCATATTATTGCTGGTGCCGGAGAACTGCATCTCGAAATTTGTCTGAAAGATCTGGAGGAGGATCACGCATGTATCCCGATTAAGAAGTCCGATCCCGTCGTTTCGTACAGAGAAACGATTTCTGAACAGTCGAATCAAATGTGCTTGTCGAAATCTCCGAACAAACACAATCGTCTGTTCATGATGGCGTGTCCAATGCCAGATGGTCTCGCTGAGGACATTGACAGTGTAAGTTTTTTTTTATTTTTTTTAAGGAACTTTTAACACAGTATATTTATTGTACACGATTAATAAAATTAAATAAAATTTTAATAAAATATGGAAGAGAGAGATATTAGCGTAATTAAACCGACATTTGGATCGAAAGTAAATTTTAATCTTTCGATATTTTGTAGGGCGATGTTAATCCGCGAGATGACTTTAAAGTACGCGCTCGTTACTTGAACGAAAAATACGATTACGACGTGACGGAGGCAAGGAAAATCTGGTGCTTCGGACCTGACGGTAGCGGACCTAATATACTGGTCGATTGCACTAAGGGTGTACAGTACCTCAACGAAATTAAGGACTCTGTGGTAGCTGGATTCCAGTGGGCCACGAAAGAGGTAAAAGATTTTTGCATTGAATTAAGCATATAGATTATTAACGTTTGGCAATAATTTACTTTTACGTTATTGTAGGGTGTTCTTTCGGAAGAGAATTTGAGAGGTGTACGTTTCAATATACACGATGTAACATTACATGCTGACGCGATCCACAGAGGTGGTGGTCAAATTATCCCTACCACAAGACGTTGCCTTTATGCCTGTCTTCTCACTGCCTCACCCCGTATTATGGAACCCGTTTACTTATGCGAAATTCAGGTAAATTATTGAAATCCATTTAACCCGGCGTGAGCTAGGTGGTAAAGTACCTAAAAGTACCTAAATCTAAAAGTACTTCATAAAACACAACGGATCTCCCACTAAATAAAAACTACAAATAAAATATTCAGAATTATAAGAAAATTATGTTTATTAAAATTTTAATCAAATTAGTAACAATTTTAAACGTTAAAGAGATCAGTGTGTCGGGTGTGACATACCCGACCTAGCTCACGCCAGGTTAATGATGATGCACACCGTTGATTTTATACACAAATCGTAATAAACAAACTTACAGAACAATTAAATATCGAAACCATCTTTTCGCAGTGCCCGGAGGTAGCGGTCGGTGGTATCTACGGCGTGCTGAATCGTAGGAGAGGTCACGTGTTCGAAGAACAACAGGTGGCGGGTACTCCTATGTTCGTAGTTAAAGCGTACCTTCCTGTAAACGAATCCTTCGGCTTCACTGCCGATCTGCGCTCCAACACCGGTGGTCAGGCTTTCCCACAGTGTGTGTTCGATCACTGGCAGATCTTGCCGGGTGACCCGATGGAACTCGGCTCTCGACCTTACCAAGTTGTGCAGGTACATACATCCATGTGGTTTTCTTTTCCATTTTTCTATTATAATACGGGGTTTACAATAGAAGTCGTAGCAGTCATAGGATTTTAAATTGTAGAAAATTTACCAATCATAGTCTATTATTCTTCTCATATTTGACTATGATTAGTTAATTTTCTACGTCCTAAAACTCTGAGACCATTACAACTTCTATTGTAGACTCCGCGTAATGCATGTTGTTCATAAGACAAAGTATCGGGTTTTTCACTGAACAGGTGATTGCTTTATCGCTAAGCAATTTTCCGATATCACACCACGTGCATAACTGATGGCGGCGACAATTTGATGCACCGCTATTTTTAATCTCGTGGGAAAGAAAGCGTTTTTAGTTTTGGTATTCCAGTAGACTATCCTGGTTTACCTGAATAGGGAAACATACAATTTTATTCAAATGCAAATAAAACGTTATGGAATTAACTAATTAACTAACTTATTACAGTTATAATCAAATCGACATATTGTTTTTTTGCAGGATACACGTAAGAGGAAGGGATTGAAGGAGGGTCTCCCAGACTTGAATGCATACCTTGACAAATTGTAACCTCAAGTCCGCGCACCATATTTAAATACCTATTTAAATATTGTAATTCGATTAATATTGCTGGAGCGGTTGTATACAATTACAACATAAAACATCGGTTTACTATGAATTTTGTTTTGCGCAATCATCCGTGAGAGACACGCAATTATAAATACGAACAAGAATAATAAAATGTAATTATAACGAAGGAAGTAAAAAAAAGGATGAGCGGAGCATATCTGCATGTAAAAGTGGGGCGATATGTTTTGTACATTTATTTAATTAAGAACGGTAAAACAAGATCGACCGGTTGCTTATGTTTTTTAGCATATTGGGTGAATAACTATAATTGTTATTATGGCGTTTTCTGCGCCAATTTTTGTTTAAAAGAAACGAAAGATATAATTCTGTAATCGTTTACATTGCTTTTTTTATTGGAATTTAGTATTTTACTTTACATTGTGAATTTTTCAATCGATTGGATACAAATGGTTCCCGGAAGCTAATATTAAAGAGGAAGAGGATCATCACAACAATGTACTCATACTACAAAAATATCAAGAAATTAAAGCTGAAATTACGAAATAGAACAGCAGCGAGCTTTTATTTCCTCTGCCTGATTAACAGGCACCGAACATAACTATAATTTATTATGTACATCAATTTATTATTTCTAAGACTAATCATATGTATAAGTGTATACATCATATTCCTTTACTCTCAATTTTTTATTCTCTAATTGACCTCTTATAAATTGAGGTATATATAATATATAAAATAAGGAATTACGGTTGAAACTGAAATTACGAGTTAATCGCTCTTACGTGTTACACATAATGAGGATTACATAAAGTTATTTTTTTTAGTAAGAATATTGTTTCATAATCGCAAAATCTCATTTATATTCAACAAGATAACAATCTTTTCTTTGCATATTAATACTTTATAGATTTTTTAATGTCGTTAATTTTTCAATCTCAAATACGATGTCTCTCTTTGCTCGATGTTCTCTATAGAGAGATAATATTAATATTTTTTACGTTTTATTTGACAAATGTTATTTTAGCTAAAATTATTAATATTACATGCAATCATAAAGTCAATACAACAAATGCGAATGCTCTATGCGATTTTCGCCATTCATGCGAAACAAAGATATTATTTCTTTGATTGCGGAGTCGTGAAGTCTCGGAGTTGCATAGGTATTACCAGTATTGGCTCGTTAATCTGTGGAATGTCCGTATAAATGGACCATGTACGCTTGATACAATCAAATATACCTGAAATAAATAAGAGTAGATTTGTAATAGTTCTAGAAATTTTCCGCAATCTTACGCTGTTTTTTTTTTCTTTATTTGCATTTGAAATATTCTTATTGCAATTCTACTAAACGAGTTTTGATTCATCGAAAAAGAGTGGGAGATTGAAAAGCACGTGCAGAGATTTGAATTAGTCTTCATTTCTGAACAACAGGAAACTTTAAAATAAATATGATGTAATCAACAAATATGATATAGGATTCTAATTTTCTTTGATGTAATCTTTCTTGCGCGCATCGTTTTTCATTTCTAATAATCTGTATACTACCGTATTTATGTTTGGTGATCGTGCTAGCTGGTCTATATCTTCTTTTACAAATTTTGGTTGAAGAGAAATAACAAAGAAGAAAATAAAAGAATAGGAATATATTCGATTTTCTGATGTAGGCATACCAGTAGCAATCGTTTTAATCTCATCATCTCTGCCAAAATCTTGGTAGATCCTGTAATCTTCGCCCGTCTGATCGCTAAGTACATTGATCACATCCTGACGACACTCCATCGGCGGATGTTTTGAAATCGTCTTCATTCTCCTGATACTGCTCTGTATGATATTTCCCTTCACTTCCTCTACCTTTAAACGTAGGTATCTGTAATCGTCGAAGTTTATTATACGAGGACAAAACACGAAGACCCATGTAGTATCCCCCACAGCATAAAATATTTCTGAAATATTTCCAAAATATAAATATATCCAGGAAATCAGTTTTTGAAACATTCTTTTCCTTACAATATTTATACAAGATTTAAAAAATATTTTTGTGAAATATTTTAATGTAATCAAAAGTTTTAGAAATGGGATAACTATAATTATGACTGCATTACTTACTACAATATACTGTACTTCGCAATTGTATGATTAACAAGGGACAAGAAGAGGCGAAAGAATAACTCCTTCGAGATGCAAGAAAGGTAAGTAAACGCGTCATTTCGTGAATGGAATGCTCTGTCTATGCATATGTAAATCTATACGCAATGTGGGAATCATCATGTACTTGTTGCAATGGGACGTATTCTCGCCCGGACTGACGGTCAGGATGTTGAGTTGCGACCGGTTGGCGCCCGCCTCGGCTGGGCCCACCTCGGCATTGTGAAATATCCGGTTGCCCTCCTGCGCGAGGAACGTCATGTTCACCGAGAAGCCCTCCGCCGCGCCGTAACCCTCGTTTTTCAGCGTCTGCTGCGCCTGCACGAAGTTCTCCACGCCCAGAAGTGCTCGTGTCAGAAAATATCGTGCTATGTACAATGAGATCTCAATTAAAGAATAAAACTAATTATTGAATTTTTATAATAAAAAAAAAAAAAAATTTCAAAAATCATTTCATCGCGAATAGATTTTTCCCCAGCTTACATTTCGAATAGCTAATTTAAATTATGGCGTTTGATACACAAAGAAATAAAACTCACGAGTCTTGCCAGATCGCAGGACCGCAGCACTGAGGGTGTTGATGCTGTAAACGAGGCCATGGTGATTATAGCCCATCGTATAACCCGGCAGGAAACCGGCGTAGCTTAACGACGTGAACTTTTCTTCTCTGTAACCCGTCTCAATAACATGAGCACTCACGAGGTACCAGTGATTCAAAGTTTCACTGACGGCATCCTCATTGTGACCCAAGATCTCCTATTTTCATTAAGCACGCAGCATAAAAACAGAACAACGTGTAAATAAAAAGAATAATAAATAAATCTCACGTAAACTGATGAAATAATATGATACAAACAGTAAAGAGCGAATAATTTAATAGTAGTAATTGTAGAGAGAGAAAGAGAGAGTAGACTATACGTTTTATATAATAGACTTTGGATTAATGTACGAATATTTATGATTTATTTGCGAATACAATTTGCGGATGTTAATTAAGATATCGTTTAAATAACACCTATAGTTTGGTATATGATTACGTAAAACAATAATCGTGGCGTCCAAAGAAATTTTATACGGAAAAAGAAATTATAAATTGAAAATTTATTCTAGTATCGTATACATGCATTATCGTTTTTCACAGTAAAATTGACTCCGACTTAATTTTCGCGTTTTACAACAGCTATTAAAATACACATCGAGATAACGCGAAGATTATTGCCGCAAAATACAGATAATTGTACGATATCAATGAAAAATATCTGTTGACTAAGTTTACTCCGAGAAAAGTTGGATTTAGATTTATTTCTTAATTTGTTATCTTCATTCACACATCGTCGAATTTAAATAACATGAAAAGATGGATTAAAATCCACGATATCTCTAATCTTCGCTAATGACTCACAGTGAGATACACTTTCCCGGGAAAAAATGTTTCATATATAATTATGTATAATTATATAAAATTATATATAGGGTGACTCCGGTATATACGTCGCGCTGGGATTTACGCCGCAGAAGTCAGAAAAAATAGAAGGAGTGGGGGTAATTTTCTCGCACTACTATGTTACATGCCTATGTTATATTAGTATTGAGTTATAATTTCAGCTTCTTACTGTTAATATTAATGAAATTATTGTGAGTTGAATCGATTTGTCACTGTGTGTGTAACAAGTAGCGTCATCATAAATTATAATCTACATAAAATGATTACTGTAAGGCGTGTAAAAGACCTAGTGGTTATTTCGTGATACATACGTGTAGAGGAATAGTAAAGTATGTTGTATAGCAAAATACAAGTGCTTTGCTTTCGTATTCTTTGTTTAGTTTGTTGAAACCCTTGCATTTTTGCCATATATCCCACCCATTATCTATATATAGCAAAAATGCAAGATTTTTTTCAAAAAGTTTATTTTTTAATACGAAAACTAAATATTTCGGATTTCTAATATTTTTTTTATAGTAGTAGACAATACAAAATTTTTATTGATATAGTTCGTTTATTTTAAACATAGTAAATAATACTTAATAAATTAAGTTTTTGATAGGTGTGGCGTATATACCGGAGTTACCCTTAATTATATAATATAAAAAATTGACATATTTTATATACAATTATATATATATGCATATATATATAATACAATTGTATAATTATATATAAAATATGTATATAACATTTTTTCCTGGGTTTTCTAACAAAAATACAGTGTAACAAAGTGAATCATTTCATTCTTGTTTAATGTAGGTTACTATGCTCTTGCCGGAAAACACCCGGTAAATAATCTTTTGATTTATTGTCACTCTTACATGTCCTGACTGGTTGCACATGATGGATGTACAACCGACTGGAAGTGCATTTCCTTGCACGTCAGTAACGTTTGGAAGAATGTCGTCCAGATGCATCAGAAACAGCTGCAACGATTACATTTTAATTTAATTCCAAAATTGTTCGTACAAATAAAAATCCTTGCAATTACTTCATTTTTATTATTATCCCCCAACAGTCTCGTTTTATTTGAAAACAAAATAAAACGAGAAATTTGCAAAGTTTAAGAAAAAATGAATTCAATTAATTAACCAAAGATGTTGAAATCTATTTTGATAAAATTGCTGATAATTAATTAATTATATCTCCAAGACGAATTCTTATCTCTTTTTTTATTCAGCTATTTTTTCATACTTTGTAAAACGGCACATTCGCACCATCCGCCGTTCCCTCGATCTCCTTCAAATATTGTGGGAATTGTTTTTTGACGGCATCAAGGGTTTCATTATAAACTTTCTTGCCTTCCTCGGTCGCGAATAGCGGCAGATAGATCTTATTCAGCGGTTGATAAATGTCCACGAAATCCTGTATCATTTTGGCGAAGGTGCGTCCCTAATATAAAACAAGCAGGGAAAGAGAATGGATTTCGTGAATGCGAATTAACCAAACGCACATGACGTGATACATTAATCAATGTGTGAGGGACTGTATGAATCTGTATGTAGAATAACAGGAATTTAATCCGGGTGAACGTCACACCAATGACCGTTCTCCTTTCCTTACTGTCCCTCCATCACGCATGTGATATCGCTTCACATTTATGCCAATCAGATTAACTATGCACCTTCTTAAATCGCGCGTGACATATCGGAGTTCATTCCTCCGGATCGGACATGAGAAAATTGCATTGCAAAGTGTATTAGCGATCTTGATTTACATGCGCACTTTGCGCTACTCATGTTTTACGTGAACGCAGGTGTCACTATAAATTACATCGGTCGCTGACGGGTGTCTTATTTCTAATATGGTTTTCTTGTCATTTAGAAAATGCAGAAAAAATTCAGCATACTTAACCTGTCACTAAAACTGGCAATGTTGAATTTCGAAACAAATTGAATTAATTATAATGCAATTATTACTACTCTATTAACCCGGAAAAAAATGTTATATGTTATGGACATATTTTATATATAATTTTATATAATTATGTATGAAACATTTTTTCCTGGGAATACTACTACACTAAAATTATTTAAACTAAAATGACTGTTATTGTTGTATTCATTATAGATATTATAATAAAACAATTATATGTAAAATATATAGAGGAAGGTCACCGATACCGACATACCACTTTGTTTTTAGACAATATTTCTTAAACAAAAGGTAAAAATACAACTTCAAAAACATAAATACAAAGTAAAAAGTGTCTTCTATCAGACAGTAAGCAATTTTTATAATACTGTTTGCAATTTTGCAATAATTAAGTTTGTCGTAAGTTATGCAAAAATGAGCGTCTGACAAAATGGGCTCCAAAACTGACATAGTAGGCAATAATACCAACATTCCTATTCTATAAATAAAGATATATCCTATTCTGTAAAGAAAACTAATTTATGAAACTATAAACATTTAAAATGACATGATATTATCAATAATACACACAGTCACTATTACCTTAATTACGCAATTTGCAAAAGAACACCGTAAGAATTTTCTTCTCGGATTCATAAAATTGGTTTTTAGCTAATTTGGTATAGAAATAAGCCACAAATATATGAATTATGAGTTTGTACTTCTTTTTAATTAGCTAAACAGAGATCATGATTTTATTAGTATTAATAAAGTGCAATAGTTTCTAAGATATAAGGGGGTGTCACTTTAGGAGACCTATGTCAGTATCGGCGACTTTCTTTTCTATTATATATAAAAATTATATATAAATTATTATATTATATTATATAAGATAATACAAAATTGTAAATAATGAGATTATTATTCTTTACCATGTTTAATTTTCAAAAGGTATCGAAGATAAAAAAACTTGGATAAATTTTGTATACAGTGCTCGTCAGTAATAATCGGATTACATCACTTGAGCAAGTAGAACAGATTAAATTGAATACAAAGTCCCCTACCATTTTGTACTTCCACATAATTAATAGATAATTAATAAATCTAGAGTGTTCAAGTAAGAATCAGATCATTCAATCAGGTCATAAGCCAATCAAAAGACTGTATTAGCATCTTAAGACGTTACTTAAGACGGTGTTAAAATAAAAATGTCATAAGCCAATCAAAAGAATGTACTAGCATCTTAAGACGTTACTTAAGACGGTCTTAAAATAAAAATAATCTATAAATACAGTTCTTATCGATGATTGATGCTTTATGAATCATCTAATGAATAACGTTAATTACTAACAGAAAAAGGAAGCCGCATTTTTTTCCGAATCGTTCTTGCCATTGACTGTTGCTAGTTAACGATAGTGACGATAATATGTTAAAAAATTCCACTACCGTAACGATAAACGCGCGTTGTGCTGAATTGTCTTTTCTCGTGGGTACACGCTCATTCGTAAACTTTTATTAATTATTGTAATTAATCTTGTATTGGATTTATATGAATTGTCTCATTAATTATTCGGAAATATGTAAAATAACAGAGGACTTTTTAAATTCAATTTAATATGTTCTATTTGCTTAAGATTGCCCAAAATTGATGTAATCTGATTCAAATTTATCAAAGCTTTTTTTTTATTTTTGAGATCTTTTGAAGATTTTAAACACTCGTAAAGAATATTTCTAGTTCTCGAGGGAAAAGACAACACTCAACTTGGAAAGTCATATTAATGTTTTTGTAAAATCTATGTTGTCGTTAAATAATATAGTTTAATCCTTACAATGTCAAAACCGATATCGTAGTGCGTTCCTCGAACGTGGATTATAGGAACGACATTTCTGCGGCTTATATACTTGGTCGTCGACTTTTTGTTGCATGTTTCGGTAGTTGTCATATTTCCGTCGTGAAAAATAAAGATGTTTACTTCTTCTTCTTTTTAAAGAATATTCGTCCTAAATTATGACACAGAATATCACACTTCATAAAACGTTCGCTATAAAACTGAAACTAGATCCAGGTAGAACACGGAGTCATAATTTAAGTCATAATGATATCACAGAACATCATGACGTTATTTGATACTTAAAAATTGACTTATAAGTGACGAATGAGGTCATGATGTTGTCTTCATGATATTATTATGACTTCTATGTTCTACAATAATAAGATTGGAAATAAGACCGTTTATGTTAGAAACATTTAATACTTTAAATACGAAGCGCCATTACGGTCTGAATGTTAAGATGTTGAACTATTATATATATTTATTTAAATGAATTAATTTCAGAAATCATCAAGATTAAATTTGGGAAATTTGTAGTGATTATTAATATTTCAGATTGATTGCGTTGAAAATCCGACAATCATATCGGCACACATAATTATGATTTCTGAAATTAATTCATTTAAATGAATATATATAATAGTTCTATGTCCTACTTGGGGATGAATCAAAGTACTTACCAGATAACTTTTCCTAAAGATGTGAAGTGACAAATTTCTCCGTAAATTTTGACCATGAATTTCGTCTAACTTTATATATTAGTATACATAAAAAGATAGGCTCGTGTACATGCAACGCATAATTAAAATAAGTCAAGGCTTTTTTTTAAACAAGCAATTATTCATAAAATAAAAATTCGTTTTTAATTAATAGGTACAATGCTATAAAGTTTTTCAAACGTTTCGACTTACAAAGTCTTCTTCAGTGAAATACATAACATTTTTATATAACCCCTTACAAAGTCAACAAACTTACAATAATACAATAATAAAAATTATCGCTCTAGGCTAATCTTACATACTTATTTCTTCATTTAGATGTTACTGATCGAAGAGCTGTTTTATTATACACGATGTCAGTTTTTGACTTTGATTTTAATTCAACAGACTATTCTATATAAATTAACGTAAGTTTGAACATAATTTCTCACTATTATTCAATTAACTTATACTAATCATTTAATTATAAATTGACATTTATTATACAGAATATATTAGTATAATCGTTGAAGAAATTCTCGATCGGATTGTTGTATATTTTTTATGAAATCGTTGATTCAACTGGATTTTCGATAACAACCGAGGATTAGTAAAACATACACTTTTATTATTTGGACTTGAAACTTCTGATTAGATATTTATTTCGATCCGTAACATCTTAGCCTGGTGTGATAATTTTTATTTTATTATTATAAGTTCGTTGACTTCGTAAGCTTGAAAAACTTTATAGCATTGTACTTATTTAATTAAAAACGAATTTTATTTTATGAATAACTATAATAGCTCGTTTAAAAAAGCCTTGACTCATTATTTATATTTTATCCCTTAGTAATTAAGTGGTACGATGCAATATTCAAGTATTCGTGAGAAATTTGCATTCAAAGTTTTTCTGTATCTTTTTTTATGTAAATTTTTATAGTGTGTGCGTTTAAGTGAATGATTAGACAACGCATGTAGTATAAAAATTATTTTACAATTATAATTCCTTTTTATAATTGTGATTATTTTCATGCATATTTTAATGACTGCAATTATATGAATAATATTGGTTTGCAATTTAACTAAAAATTCCAAAACTTTCTATGCAAATTCCTCGTGAATATTCGAATTGCATCGTGCCACTCGCCCATGAATTAATGGCGAGTAAATATATTTAAAATATATTTCAATTTAAGCGGAATTCATGTATACACTACTTGACGTTCCCCTTGTTAGACCAAGAGATTCAAAATTTATCTATTGCAGTAAACTAAGGAAAACTTCACATGAAAATAGTGAAAAAATCAATAACATATTAGAACACAAAATTCTCTTCGAAGTGCGATAATATGTTACTCAAATATTTCTTCATGTTGAACACGATGTCGTTGACAGAATTGACGTAGCACGTCAAGATTTTGAATAAATTGAGATAAAATGAGCAAAAATAGCATTTTTAGTTATTTAAAATATTTTTTTACTGTAAAATAAAAACTTGTATCTAATAAAGTTTATTCCTTGAAGTACAATTCAAGAGCTTTCAAAAGAAAAAATGATTTCTTGTCCTACTGTATAACAATTACTGTATAATAATTACTGTATACGTAATATATACTATAGTATTTTGATATTTTTCGAAAATATGGTTCCTGGTCCTATGCAAGAAGAGAGGAATAGAAAAAGTTAAATTCAACGATACGCGCCTACCTGACTTCTTCCGGGCTCTATGTCGAAAGGGATCGCCGATGGAAAATATTACGAATAAAGAACGTGATATCAAACAAGGGATCACTCGCACAAGTAAAATATTTTATCTGTATGTTAGGTAACGATCGACAGGCGACTGACACCTCGCGGGTCTTCGCGAGAAGGAAGACTCGCGAATGTCTCTCTTATCTGGCTTTTATAGCATCATATTATCGCTAACGTTCACACTTTACGCTGCGCGGGCGTCGCTCGCTTACTACGACTAATGAGGATATAAAAAATAAAGACTAAGGATTTATGTATCGCGAAGTAACGTGTATTTACCGTCGCCCATTACCTTGAGACGATCTCAAAGGCAGATCCGGGAGGCAGGAGGCCGCTGATAAACCACTCGAAGAGAAGGGAAGCTCATTTAAAGTCTATTTACTATTGTCACTTTGTTCAGATAAAATTTGTCGTAGATGATAACGTCAACGATGTGAGTATGTTTCAATTAAAACGGATTTCACTTCCTGTTTATTTGATCAAATGAATGATTTGGAAAAGAATTACAACAAAATTAGATTACATCGAGATGTTATATAATAAAACAATAATACGTTTATCAATCCTCTTGCCGTGATTATTTATAATATAGGATAAATATTGGATCCTATTTATTCTCAGCAAAAATTGATTACTCCGGAGTCATCTGAAAAAATATAATAATAATTTGTGAAAGAATACAAAATCGATCTTTCAATTTCCAATAAATCTTCTTTAGACCCTTATTATCATAAGTTTTTATCTTTCGTGAGACAAGCGCCTCATCATCACAATTGCGATGAATAATGGGAGGAAAAAAACGTGCGAAAAAGCATGTACCTCGTTTACATGCCGTTACATGACGTTAGAAATGAAGACAGCACCGTTTGAAGTTGTCGGATTTTTACAGCGTTCCTAAATCCAAATAAGTTACGTTCGTATTTGTAGAAAGATCTCATCTATGATTCTCCCTCGCAATATCGCGCTCAAGGATCATGCGGAAAATATATCTCCGTATCTCATCAACAACGAGATTAAACGCGCGAGACTCTTCACCGCTAAATCTGGAAGCGTCGAGGCTCATCCGCCTTTGTCTTCGCAAAATGACTGTCAACGATTTCCATGTAAAAACCTGTGAGACTTGACAATTACGGAGGCAATTATGTGGCTTGGATATTTTTTATCCGATATAATTAGTCCATCGCGGGAGAAGATATTTTTCAAGGATTTAACACAAAATGTGGTTAAGTTGGAAGATCAATCTTCATCCGATACATTAAAGATGTATCACTAACTAGCGTTGTATAAAAACAAAGATAATCTACTATTAGACACTTCAGAACAATAATTTATGTGAGATTTATAAAAAATATATATAGTTGTCGCGCAGATTTGTTATATTCCCGTAATTGCAACGATATTCGCGCAAAGCCGCAAGTTACATCATAATCCAACGGAATTTGTGCGGCTTCCAAAAATTCCGGTCTTTCCGTGAGCTAAATCAATTATTGTCTATTTTATGCGGCTTCCGATGAAAGATCGCGCCAGTTCAAAGATCTTACTACGCTTGTATCGAAGAGATCGACGTGAATGCGCTGCACGTGTTTTCCTTCTACTTCTATGCGTGTTAAATTACGCGTTACGTAATTGCATGCATTAAGTTACGTGTTAATGTCTCAACGGAATGAGATAACTAATTATGTAAACATCAATAAAAGCACAATATAACGTAATAATATGTTTAACATACGATATGATAAGAATAAGTGTACTATTAATTTTTTAAGAAATATGCTTTTTTGAAACAGAGGTAAACTTGGAAAGAAAAATATCTTGTTAATTTTATGATTTTTTTAATCATAAAAGAAGAAATTTGGATGGTAAAAGATTTCTGTGCTGAAAGGATTAAACTCAATAATATTAAAACCGTAACATGTAGCATTTTATTAAACCAACAATATGTTACATTTTTCTTCGCGAGATAAAAAATAATAATATAACGGTAAAATTCATTACGAATAGAAACTGCAAAAAGGATTTTCATACATATATGAAATATTTATTCTATATTTAAAATTATTTTACTTTTAACTTTTTGATTCTTTTAGTACTTCTTTAATATCTTTTTTCAAGCTTAATATTGTATATTATTTAATATTATATCATTTTTTTATAAATTCTTTTGTTACATGTATTATAACAATAAGTTTGAAGGAGACGTTTACGTATGTTTTTGTCGTTATAAAAAATTGAAATGAAAAAAGAAGTTAATTCCTTGAACTGATGCTTTACATCTCTTATTACAATGCTTTTATGATCATGTTTTATATCATAGAAATTATTATTACTCGTATTTACATCTTGAGTATATAGAGTTTTCAATGTCCTATACCTGTACCTATATCTAATTTAGAATCATGAATCGTTCGATCTTTCGTTTATCGTTAATTAAGTAACATTATCGTTATTTAAGTAAATCGTGAACAATAACTCTAATTATTCTTATTTGTTATTAATCACATTATTCATAACAACTTATGATCGTTCCCCGTTTATTATTTATTAATTAATTAATTAATTAATTAATTAATTAATTAATTAATGAGATCTGTGAAGGAAAAGTGGGATTTTCTCGCCACGCAATTATTTAAACAATTTTTTACTGTTTATTGAAACGTTCATTCAAGTTTACATTTAAAGTGTTAATTCAAATAAAAATGACGTTCTTTTAACGTCGCGTTATTGTTAATGTTAAAATATTCTCGCACGGTGAGAAAATTCTTTCTAAGTGTGTCTACAGAATCTTAAGGTAAGTATCACTTCGTATCACAGAATGAGATTGCTTTGCGACTGTAAAGATACCATTCTGTATTAAAAAAAACAATAAAATTGTTTTATTTTAAAGTTTTGATTGTGCGAAAGATTCGTCGCGTTTAGTATAAATGGTATAAATGCGCCGGATTTCTTTTTATGTTTGTAAGAGATATTATGTATATTATAATCACAAAGGAATCTCCCTTTACATATAAATGGAACATCTTCCGATAATTATACATGTGCATTGTTAACAAATATTCTCTCGACTACATAGTGTAATTTCTCTATACAGTTAGGAATAGACAATGGGGCGATTCAAATTCGCAAATTGCGGATATTTTCAGAAAAAATCACATTGAATCATAATTACTTAATTTCTCTTATCGGTTATTTACTAGAGTTTCTTATATTGATATATTTAATTTCAATTTAAGTCTAATTCAATTCGAAAGCGTCCAAATGATATAAAAATGTAAATCTGAGAAAATACAAGTTTTTTTCTCCTTTTCCACAAGATTGATGTTATATATACATATATTAAGGGAATAGATGCTCATCAAAATCGAGAAGAGGAGATATTTTAAGGTGGCTTTCCTTGTAAAAATAAGAATCAATCGCAATCATCAATGAACGTTATATTTAATGAGAGATAAGATATAACTTATCAAAGATTCCATAAAATCTAGACGGCAATGGTTCGCGATATAAAATACAGTGTGAAGAAAAAAGGAGGAAGAGCTCTGTGTCGCAGAAATGGATTATTTGTGTCGGATCAATTTGAAATAGATCGAATGGTAATTCTCACTCTGTGTTAATGCGAAGAAAACAATCGCAGCGAGAATCCCGCGAAATATGCGAGCACAACGGCAGAGACAAATAGAAAAATCGCGTTCATCATTCAGTCTTGTATAATGTCTATTTGCGTTCCTGGGAGAGAATCGCGTAAAAAATGGACACCTAGAGAAGGTTATTCTCGATAGGTGATTCCTTTATTCTCCTTTTTTTCTAAGCAAAGGTGAACATTAGATTTGCTTTGAAAAAAAAGAAAAGGAAAACAATGAAAAATGGAAAACCTCATGTCAAAATATGCGCCCTTCTTCTTGCAGCTATTCTCTCACTCCGTCGTAGTAAAGGTGGCTCATAGTCATTCGCATTGTAGTTTTCACAATATTCCCATTTGGATATTTTACCATCCCACTGCAAGCATAAAATATAATTTTATATTTATGCGTATCTTATCGTAATGATACATGTAATTGTACTTGAATCATGAATTGAAAGAATACAACTTCAATTTATTCTATATACACATAAGACAAAAGTTTTACATAAATAAAAACCTTTACGAAACAATTTTATTGACGATTTATAAGAAAAATATTTTCCACGATTTTTTAAGTCTCTTTCTTGAAAAATTATATAATCCAAATTATCTCCTCCTTTTATCATAAACGTGAACCTTGAAATAACGGCTGTGTTCCGTTTCACACATAATGCGCACGATGCATCATTTATCCTTGTTATTCACCGAATGTTAAACAAGAATAAATGAAACATTATGCACATCATGCATGAAATGGAATGCACCCAACGACAGTTCTTCGCAGTTGCAACTTTTTTTTATTTAAAATGTATGAGATACGTTTTTGTGGTAAAATAATTTTACTTACAGATGAGGTAATGAAGTTGTGATCAAAGGGATGCCAGCTGACATCACGCACGCAGCCTAAGTGACCTTTTACCTTGTGTACTATCCTTCCAGTTAGAAGATCATATACTGCGGATGAGAAAAGAGGACATGAAATCAGGATCGTTCATTTACGATGTCGTATATTGAGAAGCAGAATGTAACACTCAAAACTTACTGATGAGCCGGCCTGTCGAATCCCCCGTGTAAATGTATCTTTGACCAGTATTATCCGGCGGCGAAAAGCGACAACGTATCAAAGTCTTACGAACCGAATGACCGTAATACGTCATGATACTACTATCACCGTCTAAGAAACCTCGATCCCATACTGAAACAGGAAAATATCGTATATACTCTGTAATTATATGTAACAATAAAAATCAATTGTCACCTTAGACATTTTGGATGTATCTGAATAATTTAGAAATAAAAACAATAGTTGTCTTAAGGATTTTTCTTCTATTTTCTTTTCTTTTTTTGGTTTATAAAGATATTTACATCGTTGAGGTACAGGCTGCCATCGATAGTCCCAGTCTTGACGCTCTATAAGCTGGCGAGCATTTTGCTGGGCTTTACGAGAAGAGAACACTCGCGTATCCCATAACTTGATGCATTGGTCTTTAGAATTGGTTATAAGATACCGTGTGTCGCCACGTGAATCGATGTATGTGATCCCGTCTCTATGACCGGCCAATACTCCAACTGGAGACGGATTAGATACGTTTATCAATCTTCTATCCCATACCTAAACCGACAGGAAGACATCGAAGATGTAATATAGAATGAGAATTTTTCCGAATAATCGCGTGCATAAAGACTCATTATCGATTCATTATAGCGCACATCGATTTCTTTCGTAACACAGATATTCGACTTAAGGTCAACGTGACGCTACAAATGAAGCATTCTACAAGCAAAAATAATTTAAAAATAAATCACTTAGTACAATTCTTTCTTCGAATTGATCAATTAAATGCTTCAAAGCATTTGTAGCAACACTTTTCACCGCATCCTTATATATTCAAAAAAGTGGCGTCTTGGATGACTTAATTATACCTTGCATAATCCATCGTCACCACCGCTATAGAAGATCTGCGAACTATTGTCTGCATAGGCAACACAGTTTACGTCTTCTTCATGACCTACGAACTATAAAAATAAATAGATATCAGTACAAGAAATGGCAACCGCGCTTCTATCGTTAAATAATAATTTTACAAACCCGCTCAAATCGGCGTTGGCAATAGAGACTGTATATGTAGAGGCATCGGTCATTGGCGCCACCAAGAATTTCTTCGCCATTGTTTGAAAAGGCCAAGGAAAAGACGCAAAATCGCCGTACGCCTGGATGTAAAGGTAGTGTTTCTATCGAGTCTTCAGATATATGACACTGATATACTATAAAAGATAAAAGAATACATATTGTATTATATCTTATATCTGCCAGCGTATAATTGCACAAGATATAAACATAATATCACTTACAACAATCCGCCCAGCTCGAATATGCAAAATGTTGTCCGTCCGGACTGAACGCTACGTCCAGAACACTCCATCCAACATCATGCGCCAACATCCGATTGTACAAGGTAAAATTACCATTGTTCGTCCGATATATGTACATCCATTTATCTGCAAAGATTCATAAACATTAGATATGGACAGTTGAATTAGGCTTGTTCTTTTTAGCTAAATTCCTTGCACTGTTTATCCTTTTTCTTTTTTTCTCCTGTGGAAAGAAAAAGAAGAAAGATAAACCATGTGAGAAGTTTAGCCGTAAACTATAAGTATATGTGACAAGCTTGTACACAACAAAGAAGATTCTGGATGACGTGTAGCTTGATATCAGTACAAATGATTAGTAATCTGCGGGTCATGAGTTCGATCTCGGTCCTCATTCCATATACGTTTCATTAGGAGGTAAGAGATCAACTTTGATAGGAAGATCTGTTTTGGTAGGAAGAAATTAAGGTCTCTTTATTCTGTAACTCTTATGTCCATTTCTTTATCTTTTTCTAGTTTTAAGAATTAGAAAAAGATGAAGAGTTAGTTGAATTGTAATTAAATTTAATCAACATTAGTGGAAATGAATGTTAATGGCAGCAATGATATCGTTACATTATTTTTGCACAGGTTTTATACGTAGAAAGAAAGCTGCATAACTATATTGTTATTGTCGTTAAGAGTTACATAATAGGAGCTTAAAGTAATATTTAAAAAATTGAATTAAAAAGAATAAGAATTTTAAATATATTATATTAAGGATGTTATTAAGTAGAATTGGTGAAAATAGTAAAAGTATAAGAACAGATATATTATACAACGTGGAAAGATAGGTTGAAAGCACCTTTGGCACCTTGGTACAATAAACAGAATAAACCTTGTAGAATATACCTTGAGTGGCAGTGACGAAGAACTCTCCATCCTTGGAATATAAACCACAGAATACTTTCGAACCAAAGTCATTTAAAACCTGTGGCTTATTCGGCAAAAGATTGTTGGCTATCCTACGTTTTTCTTTAACACTAAAACCGTTCGGTTTGAGGGCCCTCTTTTGTATCATTGGTATTATAGACGTGTTCTTCTCGTCAGTGACCCCTGAGGCATTTTTGGTGACGCCGATTATGTCGTTTTTCTGAAAAGCATCATACTGCAATGGCAAAAATGAAAGCAAGATAAAAGACTCACATTTTTATCCTCGGCAAGTTTTATATAAACCATACCGAGGAACAAACTTGCACACACATTCCACAGTTGAACTCACCTCTAATCTGGTTGTATCTGGAAACCTCGCTCGTGCGCGAATTCGTGCCAATTCATCCTCTGATTCATCAGATATATCTATAATGGAACTGCAACAACAAAAGAGACAGTACTGAGGATATTTGTCGAGGATATTTCCACGGTCGTGTTGACTGATGCGTGAGGTTATGCGACGAGACGGTGAGTATACAAAGACGTTCCGTGCGAGTCGTTCCTTGTGTTACTGAGGATATTTGTCGAGGATATTTCCACGGTCGTGTTGACTGATGCGTGAGGTTATGCGACGGGACGGTGAGTATACAAAGACGTTCCGTGCGAGTCGTTCCTTGTGTTTTTTGATTTTCAGAACAATTGTATGAAGATGACGATCGCGAATAAAAAAATACTGGGCGAAAAATAAGAGCGACGCGTTCTCAAGAATATTCCACAGTGAATGACCACGAAAGACACTAAAGACAGGCGAGAAAGGTTATGAAAATAGCGCGCGTTGCAATAATAGAGAAGAGTGGGGGTAACGACAAAGTAAAGGTCTGTTCAGCGGGATGTTATGACATGTAATTATTCCGCTACCCATTTCAATGTAGATTAACTTTAATCTCGATTCAATTAAACTTTTCATCCTTTTTTAATTTTTAGAACCAAAAAAGATGAAGAGTTATTTGAATTGAAATTGAACTACCTTTGTAAGATTAACTTTGATCTCGGAACTGAAGATACAATTTCACGTGCTGCGAAATTAAATAAGTAATTGGAGCGACAGATCTATTGCTGTCATTCGAGCGGCTGAAATTATATATTTTGAACCGTTTGAACCGAACGGTTTCAATTACAAGCGTCAAACGCTTAAACGGTGTTGACAGTGCTGCCACACCGTGTCGACCGTATTGACCAGCGTTTACCGCGATATATATGACCTAATTTATATTTATCTTTCCTTATTTATATTTCCCTTTGTTACTGATCCAGATCAAAGGATTTGGTGCAGTTAGGATAATCTAATAACTGCACGGAGAGAATTGTTTTTTAGAATTTATCCTGAAAATATGGTAGTTCTGGAACAACATTGTATTTCGAAGAATTTTATTTAATTTCATTTCATTAATTTTTTATTTTATTTTATTTTATTTTATTTTATTTTAATTTTATTTTTCTCTCATTCATTAATAAAACTACAATAAAATATAAAATAAGTTTGATTAATTTTACTGAAGTGTATAGTAAAAATCTTTAAAGTATTATATTGTACCACAATTACCATGTTTTTAGGATGAATTTTAAAAGATAATTCTCTTCGGGTGCTAATAACTGTTTAATTCAACGCGTTAATAGTTAATACCGCAAGTGCTACATAAAAAATACAATGGCTGCGTTTAGCAGAAAAAAGGATTTGGTGCAGTTAGAATAATCTAATAACTGCACGGAAAGAATTGTGTGTGTGTGTGTGTGTGTGTGTGTATGTTTCTTAGAATTTATCCTGAAACTAAGGTAGTTCTAGGACATTGTATATTTCGAAGAATTTTATATAAATTTCTCTCATTCATTCATAAAACTACAATAAAATATAAAATAAGTTTGATTAATTTTACTGAAGTGTAGAGTCAAAATCTTTAAAGTATTATATTGTACCACCACAACTACCATGTTTTCAGGGTGATTTTTTAAAGATAATTCTCTCCGTGTGCTAATAACTGTTTAATTCAGCGCGTTAATAGCAAGTGATACATGAAAAACACAAACAATGGCTGCGTTCAGCAGAAAAAACAGCTTTGCAATTGTAAAATTCTTGAATATGATTGGTTTATACATTGAGATCTAATGAGAAACTAAGGACAAGATCAATCATATTAAAGAATTTTACAACAGTTGCAAAGCTGCTTTTTCTGCTGAACGCAGCCAATATGTAAAATCTGTCGCTCAAGTGTCAAATTCAATGCTTCTTTTTCATGTATAAATTTGTCGCTCTAATAATTCTATGACAAAAGCCATCACGTGATCATTTTTGACGTGTAAGAATGCCGTCCCATAACCCGTATCGCCGTACGCGCGTATCGAAGGATCCGATCAATCACTGACATTTTGCCGTTTTACGTACGAGAAAATTTTGTTCCTAAGTCCGGATCTACAATAGGGTTTTAAGCCTTAAGCCATAAGAAATGGGCGAATCACAATCGCTTATTCTCCTCGGATTTGACTGTAATTGGTCAATTTCTTACGGCTTAAGGCTTAAAACACCTATTGTAGATCCGGGATTATGCTTGCAAAATTTGCAAACAGATGTAAGAGAATGATTTTGTGATTGGCCGCTAATTCGCTTAAGCCTTGTGTCCACGATACTAGAAATCAGTCCGAGATCTCGGATGAAAAAAGAATTGACCAATTGCAATGGTCATGTGATCAAGTTGTTCAAATGTGATTTGTTAATTTTTTCTCTGTCCGAGATCTCGGACCGATTTCTAGTATCGTGGACATCGGGCTTTAGACCTGTTCTACAATATAATCGTAAACGATAAGCCGTAAGAAATTAATTAATCATAGTCAATTATTTTTCTCACACTTAACTGTGATTGGCCAATTTTTTACGACTTACGACTTGCAATTCTATTGTAGAACAGGCATTACGCGCGATCTGCATGGGACATAAGGAACAAAAGTCGCGTACATAAAACGGCGAAATGTCATACCTGGTTTATGCTTCGGTCTTAATCCTATGCCCGTTTCTACCAATGTGGATTAATTTTAATCTTGGTTTAATTTACTCTTCTTCTTTTTCTAATCCTTGGAACTAGAAAAAGACAAAGAGTAAGTTGAACCGAGATTAAAGTTAATCTACAATTGGTAGAAACGGGGATTAGTCTTAGAATTAGTTCTAACTTATGCTTGATTTATGCTTCGGTCTTAACCCTAAAATCCTAAAATTCAGCCAATGGATTTCAGTTAGGACCAATTAAGACTGGCAGCCCTATTAAGACCGAAGCATAAACCCGACATTAATCTTAAGGACTAAAGTTAAAAGATATGAACTTTCTTGAGATTAAGATTAAGATTACGGTTAAGACTGAGGAAGCATAAACGACCTTATGGCATTCTTTGTTGCCAACTTTTAAGACTAAGATTAAGACCGAAACATAAACCAGTGATTGATCGGATCCTTCGATACGCGAATACGCGCGTAAGACGATACGCGTCATGGGACGGCATCCTAATTATTCCGCTTTAGCTAAATTCCTTGCATCGTTTATCCGCTTTTGTCGCTGAAGCCAGTTCGAGCGACTCGTAAAAATGCACTTCAACTCTTTTCTCCAATTTTTTAGTGAAAACGATAAACAGTAAGTTAAATCCAGATTAAAGTTTCTAATTATTCCGCTTTAGCTAAATTCCTTGCATCGTTTATCCGCTTTTGTCGCTGAAGCCAGTTTGAGCGACTCGTAAAAATGCACTTCAACTCTTTTCTCCAATTTTTTAGTGAAAACGATAAACAATAAGTTAAATCCAGATTAAATTTTATATTAGTGGAACTGGGCCTAAATCGACCTATCGAGAAGCCGATGTAAAAGAAGCAGCAATATATCTCTTGCACCAGACATCTAACTGGTAAGTTTTTCCGACGCATACTTCACAGTTACACAAATACAAATTATCGCATTCAGCAAAATGTTCATTTTACGACTGTTGCAAGTTTCCTTTGCTAAGATAAAACTCTCTCAAGCAGCATTGTTAAGTCACGATAACGTCAAAATGACATTTAAATGAATCGGAAATGATTGAAAAATGACTTTTAATGATCATTTTGGAGTCATTTTGACATCATTTTGATATTATAATGACTTGTTCTGCTTGGGGTTCTTCTGAACGTTATCATTTGTTGTGTTTAGACGCGAAAAGAGATCGATTTTTTTAAGTCGGCTAACACTTCACTGGTTATGTTAAACTTTAAAGGCATTTCATTTCTGGATTATAAATTCTGATAGATAAATTTAAATGTGCAAAAATAAGTAAAATACAATCCAACTTCTATGACAGTAAAAACTTATTGTTAAAACTTTCATAATTATGTAAGAATTTTTTTAGTTTTTCATGCAGTCCAGAATACAATATAAAAATATGCACTGAGTAGCGATTATGTAACTTTTTACTTAAAACGAAAACATGAGAAATGAAAATTAATTTTTATCATTGAAGTAGAAGAAATTTTTCATTTTTTATCTTAAGGAAAAAATTACATGATCACTATCCCAAAAACCCACATTGTAAAAAAATAGGACTCAGTAATAATAAATGATAAAAATCGACAGACGATTAATTACGTTACCAATATTAAGCAAGTTTTGTAGGAGTTTTTGATATATTAAGAAATATACTTGGCAGCTCGATATTGATATTATTAATATTTGTTACTTTCTTCAATTTGTGTGTATTATACAATTAAACGCTTCTAGTATGACACCTACGCGATCTCAGTATACAATTTCATAATTTCGTGCAATATTACGAACGTATATCCTTCCTCTTTTTTTCGTCAACAATAATTTTGTAAATCGACCTTTGCGAGCTCCGCTATATTATAGTTATTATAACTGGCATTTCGTGGAAGTGCGACCTTCCAAATTTCTCTGGAAATTAATTAACTTTTGTCTGATTATGCAAACTGAGTCGTATATATTCATTACCACTCTCTTATAAAGTATAATATTGAAAGATAAACATCCACATTATTTTAGGTATTCCGAAATTTAAGAGGTAAAGGTCAAGCAGAGAGAGAAAGAGAGAGAGAGAGAGAGAGAGAGAGAGAGAGAGAGAGAGAGGGAGGGAGGAGTTTACAGAGAGATTAGGGTGTTACAGGACGATATTAAAAGTTACGTGTCAGAGGCGCACAATTCAGGCCAGACACGTGTGGCTATAATTCAAACTTCATCTGACGAAAGCCCGGAAGATCGTAATTAATTCCGTGCCACGATTAGTTTCGTGGTCAGCTCGCGGTTAGATCAGTATTACAAGGATCTTGTACTTTTATCGGTGTACATGATCAATTAGACACTCAACAGTTCCGAAAGAAATAAAAGATTAACGCAATGACCTAGCTAGTAAGCTAACGTTATTTCTCACCATTTTGATGTTAAAACAAAAGATAAATAACGTCAGCTTGTTACTTAGGCTTGTTCCTATCCTGCTACGAAGACTCGTCTCTGTCTTTTAACTTTTATACAGGACAATATAAGGCCA